CAACATTTGAAATTCTAGATCTAGAAAAGCAAATTTAAAAAAAGTGATGGCTTTTTGCTCAATAAAAATTTTCTTACCTGCAATTGTACAAAAAAGCATGACCTAATTTTAAGTCTGGTTCATTAGCTTGTGGCGTTGTGCATTTTGAATCTGGTGTTTTAATACTAGGATTTCAATTCCGAAAATGATTGAGTAACCAAACAAGACTGTTTGTATCAAGTTGAAGTCCTGAGTTTCCCCACTGCATTCTATATTTTATGGAGTAGTTCAAAATAATTTAATTGTTAATATTTTCAAAAAAAAAAAATTGAATTTTTTTGATGTTTTTTTTTTTGAAAACTATCACCCCACATGCAATTTCAAATACAAAGTAAAATAATTTGCACAAGGCAATGTTTCAAACAGACCAGAAAGCATGCCCAGTTTGGATCAATTTCCAAGACCGATTAAAACTCCGCGTACCAACGAAAGTATCGCGCGTTAATTGTCCCGAGATGGTCAAATTGATCAATTTGGCAATCTTTGAGCACTCATAACTTTACAAAAAACGATCACCGAATACATTTCTATACATTTTTATTGTTGTGCTCAAAACAACCATATTTTTGGAATCATATAAGAAATTTTGTCAAAAATTTTTATTTAAAAGTCAAAATCTGTCAGGAGAAAAAACAACCCCAAGCTCAAATGTTCCGTCTTTTTCTCCAAAAAAAGTCGGAACAAGCATGAAGTAGATAATACAGTGCTTATGTAAGTTAACCGCACAAGCCAACATAATTTGGAATGTCAAACGCGTTTTTCTCAAATTGGGCTAAAAATAGACAAAAAACAATAAGAAAGTCGCTCAGCAATTTAGTTTGTGAAACAAGCAACCAAAACTTACCTTGAAAATGAATCTTTTGTTTTTTTTAGTTAGTCAAGCATTAGGACAGAACTACCAGAGTAATTTCTAGGAAGTTGTATCAAAATGAACCTCCTAAACAACCCAACAAATTCAAGAATGACGAAAATATGAGCAAAAATTCAAAAAATCCAAAAAATAATTGATGAAAACTAAATTTAAACATTTTGCACAACGTACTGCAGAATTTGATTGTATAAGAAGTTCTTTTTAATTCAATTTATCCACCAATCATTTTAAAAGTAAAAGCCCAACTTTTGATTAACTAAAGAAACGAAATGACCAATACTTTGGGAAAAACTTTTGTTTTCGATATTCACGAAAAAATTGTCGGAAGTTAATTCTGATGAAGTTCTGAGCAAATTATGTTTTCTTCACATTTTATCTATTGGCGAATGAAGCAAATACGAGAAACACACTTATAAAATATCCGATGTTTTTTGTTTTTCCCGGTTAATGAAGAGTAATGAACGCAGTGAGAACTCTTATATATAATTTTGCTGATTTTTTATGTTGTTTTATTTTTTTTTTCAGGTAAAGCCCTAACATTTGTTAAAACTTAGTTTTTATTTCTTACGGTTTGATCTCTTTTTGTGTAAATTCACTTCATTTCCTTTGTTAAAAGGATGGCAAACTCCACTATCGAACAGCAAAAGATAAAGGCCACGAAAAACTTGATTGACTTCTAAATTCGAATATGCAATTTAAGCACCAGATGTCCCAACGAGAAAAAATTTACCCATTGATCAAATTTTTCAATGTTGCTATATCAAAAAACAAACAATCATCATTTGTTTGCGAAACTCAAAAAACCTTCAGAGCGTATTTTTCTCTTTAAAAATCGAAAGTTAAAGTTTTTCAAAAAACATGTCAGTTTTTTTTTCTGCTTGGTTGCGTTTATTACCTTTCTCCAGCTGTCAATTGGCGATCATTGAAACCAGAACTGTAAGTTATAAGGTTCTTTTGTTTTCTAGAATTTAGAAATTGTGCTATACGGGTTCTCTTCGGGTTGTATTTGTTGCGACCATTTAAAAAATGGGGTGGAAATTTGTATTTGGGAGTATTTAAGTTTCTTCTTTCCACGCAAAATCAGATACCAGAAACAACAATGCCCGGAATGGTTTGATTTATATACCAAACCGAAGCCAATTCTTTGCTGCTGTAACGTTTTTCATTTTAGGTTCAATTTCAATCAAATAAATTGAGCAAGCAGGCCTGCAAAAACTATTTATGCTTACTTTAAGCCCCACAAATTTAATTTCAGGCAAATAAACTTTCTTTTTGGATATTTTACCGAAGTTTGAGAATCACAAATTTCCAAAAAAAATTCAAAAGAATTCTGCAAAAAAAATTAATATGATTTATATAAACTGCTGTTCAATTCGACAAAATCAGTATTTTTGTCTAATGGATCTGCAGTCATGTTATACGTCATTCTAATTTTTTTATCAAATCAGGCAGAAAAGCCTGCACTAAATTTCTCAAAAAAAAACTTCTTTCACGGTACTTTTTTAAAGTCTATGATCGGATTATTCTATGCGACTTGCTCAGTATCCAGCTATCCTTTTAATTTTGCACCAATTGCATTTGACCTCTGTTTGAGTTAGCGGTCTCGTGTGTTTCAAATAATTTTGTCAATGTTCTGACCATTTGAAAAACGGGGAGTAACTTTGTTTTCGGGTAATTTTCAGCTCTTTTTATACATTTGTTTTTTGTTTTACATGCAAAATCTGGTTCCACAAAAAATCATGGGACTCGTTTGAGTGATATATCATATTAAAGCCCTTCCAGTCGTGATTTGATATAAACTAAACTTCTTCCAAAAAAGTTTCTCAGTGTTGAGAAAACCCGGTTTAAAATTTTTAATTTTTCGTCTATTTTCGAGCGAGAAAAGCGAGCGAGGACGCATATTTATGCTTTGGTAAAGCCGTTTACAAAGTTTTGGTTTTTCTTTTTTTTCCCAATTTTGCTGGAGTAAAACTAGTTTTAGGAGAATTTTAACGCCATTTTGGCAATCAAAAACTTTCCAAAAACATTTTCAAAAACATTATTTTTATTGTTTTATAATTTTTCATTTTCCAGTCAGTTTTTACAATGACTGTTGTTCAATTTACTTATTTCACTAAAACTGTCAGATAAGTCTGTGATTTAATTTTTTGCTCATACCTTTTTATCACACTACGCAGAGAAAACAACACGAATTTTTGCTGAAGACTATAGTCGGAATATTCTGCACTACGTGATCGTTTAACGACTATCCTTTTCTTCCTTCGTTTTTGTTTTGTATTTTTTTCTTAAGCAAAAGTAAATATATTTTTTCTAGTTACTTGGGTTCATTGACTATTTTTCCAACTGTCTCTTGGCTATGCTTGCTCGTTTTGGATTGATCAGCTATTAAAAGCTGTGTTACCAGGCAAACGTTTCCAATTTTTTCATCTTGCTGGACGTTGTTTTAGTTTAATTTCTGTACTTGTTTCTGACATAAAAATTATTCGACTGCTTAAGGTAAAATTGATTGCAGTGATTCATCTTTTCAAAATGTATAAACACCTCAAAAATTGCTTCTATCGTTTTTTTAACTGTTATTTTAGTTTCTAGAAATTGTTATATCACTGTTTTTTTGCAGTTTTTGAAATTGAGCAAGGTTGTGATCCAAATAACTTTGTTTTGGCTGTCAGTTCAAAAGAAATCGTTTAATTTTTTTATTGTTTTTTTTATTCTGACTTTCGTAAAGTGCGGGGACTCCAAGATGTCACATTACGAGACCAAACTGAGCACTTTTGGGATTGTGAGCGGATTCCACAACAGGCCAAAAACATAACTAATGCGGAGCCCGTAACATTGCTAATTTTCACTGATCTTCTTTGCTGTTTCGGATTCCACGGACAAGTAGCTAAAGCACTGTGTTACTCAAAATAGCTCAAAAGTAGGCAAATTTGCACTATCCGCAACAAAAGTTGTGGAATCTGCAACAAATTTGAGAATTATGGAACAGTTTGAGGTCTCCATATTCGAATAATTTGTTTAGTAAATTTAAGATGTTGTGGAATCCGCAACTGTAAGTGGAATCCGCAAATTGTAAGCCGAATCAGTAAACTTTTAAAGGATTTCGCAAATTGTAAGCGAAGTCCGCAAACTGTAAGCGGAATCTACATAAAATTGCAAAATCCACTTAAATTTGCGGGATCCAGAACAAACACCTATATTTGCTCGTTGCACAATCCGCTACAAAACTAATGTACCGACAAAATTTAATTTACAAATATCCACTTACATTTTGGATTATGTTTAAAGACTTGTCTCTGGAACCCAGGAACATACAGACTCAAAATTGTGCGCTCATCCAGTGCACAGTTGGGCCTCGTAATGCATCAGACAGCTATTTTTTTAATTGAGAAAGGTTGGTGATATTAATCAGTCAAATTTTGGCGTATAAAGTGTTGTACAAAGTGGTGTCATTAGTGGCGTATAAAGTGTGGAGAGTGAATCGACGCCAATTGCTCGTCGAAACCAAGTTGATTTAATTTCATTAGAAAACTATAAAGCTCAGGCTAATTGGATACAAGGCAAAATTAAGAGATATTTAAAGCAATAAAGATTTTCGTTAAAATTATTCAGTAAAATTGAAGAAAGGTTATGAGGAAGAATAATTAAATTAAATTAGATTCAATATGATTTGAAATCTATATTTGCTGCAAACATTTTTTCCAATTTAACAATGACTTCACCTTACTACGCCTCATAAACTTGAAATAAATTTGTATCAATCAGGTTGAAGTTTCCTTTAATTTTTTCATATGCTCACGAAAATGTTTTGCTTTTAAATATCTAGATTCTAAAGTAAACAAAAATGTCAAAATTGAACATCCAAACTTGTCTTTTAGCTTCACTGAGGCAAATGTCTGAAGATTTCGCAAACACTTGATTTTTTAGTGCGAATACCCTTCAACAGAACTGGTTACTTCCAAGTGACAGTTGGAGCGGACAGTCAGGACACGTGCGATGCTGCCAAGAAGGAAAATCGGTCTTGCAATGGGGCACTGGAGTCCAAACAGCTGTATAACATATTCCTGGTGGCATACACCAAAGACTACCGCAGGTGCTCTGTACTTTATCTGGAAAAGTATGAAACTGGTCAGTCAATCAAAAATTATAAACACCTGCCATACACTATCAAGGAATCCAGCGAAGCTCAGTCTACAATCCTCAGTTCAAAAACTGAACTTTTCTTTTGTACGAACCATAACTTTAATAACACGAGACCAACAAAATTGAAGCCATTCGCGTCTACAGCAGTAAACCATTTGTATACCATATGGATTGTGTTGCGAATCTCACTATTCGTCTTATTTCATTTAATTAGTTTTAAAGTTTCTTAACTGGTTAATTTAGATATGACCTTGTTATCTTCATTCTCTCCGACGGAGAAAATGACCGCTCACTTTTCAATGTTTTAATTCAGAGATTAATTCACTTTTTAAATATATCTTATTTGTAACTAAGTAGAATTATCCGTAACAAAGAAACATTTTATCATGGCGCAGTCAATCAGCAACGAATCAAACGTGAGAGGTATACCTTCATTTTGGCAAAACCACACAGTGGACCCACCAATCCCTTGGGAAGAGTGGAGCGATCTATTCCAGCTAGCAATAATCGCAAAGGAGAATATCGATATCGAAAATCTCTTGAATCCATCGGAACGATATCATCCACTTCCCTCAACATTGGAAAATCCGCCGGAAAATGAATCCGACGCTCAAAAAACATCTCGCATCGAGATGAATATTCGAGAACAAAAGAGATTCGATGATGAAGAAATGGCCTCAATAAAGTCAGAAACCAAGAAATTCAACGGCATGAGAGTTGAAGAGGCGGACAAAAAACTCAGATCCATACTCTATCTAGCCCTCGGAAACGAAGGAAAGAAAATATTCGGCCAAAAGTTTACGAGAGTTAAAGTTCTACAAATTTCTTTCAAAGAATTTTGGGAAAATTTGTCCGTAGCTTTTGTGAGAAAGACAAACATAACCTTCGAAAGACACAAGCTATTAAACAGAAAACAGAGGGACAGAGAATCATTAGAACAATTCTGGGGGGCACTTGCAGAAATGGCAAAAAGATGTAACATTCCCACAGGAGAAGACGAATGGATTCGAGATATTTTTATCAATAACATGAAGAACTCGGAAATCCAACGGAAACTTCTCACGGAAACCTTACCTCCACTAGAAGCCTTAAATGTAGCCCTGATTGACGAAAAAGGAATTACAAACCACATCAAAATGACGAGTACTTTTAAATCCAACGGATATTCTTCCAACAAATCTTTTAATAATTTTAATGTAAAAAGAGAACCCACCCTAAACATCGAAAGAACCAACACATGTATGAAATGCGGCGAAAATTTTACAAAAGGACATCTAGCGACTTGCCCCGCTAAAGATACGACTTGTACGACTTGTAAATATAGAGGACATTTTATTAGACTCTGTAAATCACGCCGTAAAAATGTAAATATTGTGGATAGTCAAATTGTAAATAATACAGACCATAATTATCCTTCGGAACAACCGGATGTACATATCGACCACGCCAATAGAGAATGCTGTGGAGTAATCAACGTATGGTCGGAGTCCGGACAGAGCGATAACGATGATTACTCTGTATAAAACGTAACAACTATCTACGACGATCAAGGAAAGGAACTGAAGAAATTACTAAACATCGGCTTAGGAAATGAAAACCAAGTAATTCTCAAAATACAGGTGGACTCAGCAAGCCCTGTAAGCTTCCTTAAGCAGAACGTGTTACACGAGTTGAAGTTACGAGACCCTTATGTGAAAATTTATCCAGTGGATAAAGCGACTAAAGAACTCTATTGCGGATTCACGAACAACGCAATAAATATCACTGGAGAGGTAATCGACCCAATTTTCTCAAATGGATGGTCTCACAAGGAATGCCACTTCTTCTTAACTCAAGGTCATGAAAGAAACATCTTGGGAAACAACAATTTACCAAAAGTCGGAAATGAAGTTTCACAAAAACAATTCACAACACTCACCAACAAGAGAACTTGTAAGTCTATCAATTCAGTTACCTCACTTGACAGAGATAATGAAATAGAAATGATTTCCAAAACCTTCAAACAATTATTCCTTTGGATTGGAAAGATAAAAAATCAAACAAAAATAACACACTTTCACGAACCACTAAAGCCAATTCAACTAAAAGGCAGGAGGGTCCCTTTACACTTACTGGATTCAGTAAAATCAGAATTATACAGACTTAAATCCGAAGGACTCATCAAAAAATTAGAAAACTGTGACGAGAACAGATTTATTAGTCCGATAGTTATCACTTGTAAAAAAGACAAATCGATAAAGCTAGCTCTAGATTCAAAATTTATCAACAAACAAATTTACAAGAACAAATATCAGATGCCCAATATACACGAGTTAGTGGATAACGTAGCGGCTCAAATTTCAAACAACTCCGCCGGAGAAGTATGGTTTACAAATCTAGACTTAAAGAACGCATATAGTCAACTCTCGCTAGACAATTTTACTAGCAGCCAATGCAATTTTAGCCTAGTTGGCGGAGATATAACAGGCACTTATCAATTTTTAACCGGTTTTACGGACTCGGCGATATGCCAAACGAGTTTCAAACAGTCATGGACTCAACTCTGGGAAATATTCCTTTCACAAATTGTTACCTTGACGACATATTAGTCGCTTCCAAAGGAAGTTTTAACGATCACAAGAAAATTGTTTATAAAACTTTATCAACGCTAGATAGTTACAATTTCGCAGTTAAATGGTCGAAATGCAAATTCTTCCAAAAAGAAATCGAATGGCTCGGCTTTAAAATATTGACAACCGGAATCGCTCCACTATTCGATAAAACCAAGGCAATCAAAGATATTCCAATTCCAAAGAATCTAAAAGAATTAAGATCATTCTTCGGGTCAACTAATCAGTACATTAAATTTGTACCAAATTTAGCATCCCTCGGAAGCCCCCTTAGACCTCTTCTAAACAAAAAGTCAATTTTTCTATGGAATGAAGATCACTCAAAAGCATTCGATAAGATTAAATCAGAAATAGTAAATCTTACTGAAAACACACACTTCGACGTAAAAAAGTCCACGAGAGTAAAAACCGATGCTTCACACAATGGGTTAGGTGCATCCCTCGAACAACTCCATGAAAACGTTTGGAAAACAGTGTCATTTGCTTCAGGATTTTTAAATCCTCATGAATCCAAATATTCAACAAACGAATTAGAGTTATTAGGAGTTGTATGGGCGGTGGAACATTACAAAAATTATCTCTACGGCTCCGAATTCGAAATTATTACCGACCACAAAGCTCTCCTTTCCGCTTTGTCTTCTAATCACGGAAACAAAACGTACCATAGCCGATTGACAAGATGGGTAGATCGTCTTCTACCATTCAATTTTACTATCAAGTATTTAGCGGGAAAAGATATGGGTTTTACCGATCTAATTTCAAGAACTCCTTCGGGTAAAGCAATTCCCCCATCCCATTACGACGAAGAATTCGTAGTTGCAACTACCGAAAAAATATATAATGCACTCAATCCTTTGGATAATGAAAATCCATTACGTAATTCAATTAATTCAATTTCGGAAAATTCCCAGTACACGAAATTACGAAATCACGTAATAATTACAGCATTGAATTTCGTCAATTCTTCCATCTCAATCTGCAATCAAAAACACTATAGAACAGAATTTTGTGACTCTAAATGTATTCCCTCGGATTTCTCAAGCACAGATTCTACTAAAATCCTTCTATCAAATTCAGCCTTTATTTATTTTTTAATTATTAACAGTAGCTTAATTAGTAATCCTTCGGATTTCAAACTTATAAATAGTGTAATTATGTCAAATAACTAAATTGTAGTAAATCCTTCCACTTCCGGGATACAGGTCTCTATTGATTTCCAAATTTCCTCAGAGCACAAAAAGTTAGTAACTAAATTTCGAGAAAACCTCAAGTTACCTGAAAGACCTTTGGATTTAAATACTTTATTCAATGCAAAGTTGGTTGCTTTATTAACGGAAGATGATGAGATGTTAAACCAATTGTGAAAGCTTTACAGAAAAAAGTAGAAAACATCAACGCAAATTCCCGTTACTTACACCAATTTTCGAAAGACCTCCATGAATCCGACGGACTATTATATATGGATGGAAAATTGGTTATTCCGTTTACACTTAGAAACGCCGTTTTAAAAACTTTACACGAATCACACCCTGGCCAATTTGGTACGAAATACCTGGCACAATATATTTGGTGGCCACATATAAACCGACAAATTTACTTCCACGGGATTAATTGCACACAATGCACCCAAACTGGTAAGAATATAAAAAGCATCATACCAACTACACAAATTAGCGAATTTCCCACTTTATTTGAACCAAATGAGGAATTAAACCTTGATTTTGCCGGTCCATTAGATAACAACTGGGGAAACAATAAATACATCTTATTATGTATAGATCGTTTTTCAAAATTCCCATCAGCAAAAATTACTTCTTCAACGTCATCAAACACGGTAATCGAATTCCTTCAAGATTATTTCTATCTCCATGGGATTCCTAACTCCATTCGTGTTGACCACGCATCCTGTTTTACTAGTCAGGATTTTGAATTATTTTGCAATTCTCTTAATATCAAATTAATATTTTGTACAGTTGGGGACCATCGTTCTAACGGTCTTGTAGAAAAACTTGTTCATACTGTAAAAATCAAATTATTAGCAATGTCTTTAGAACAACAAAAACCTACATTACAAACTGCCATTTCGAAAATCATTTGGAATTTACGATCTTCCTTCCAATCAAAAATAAAATGCTCACCGTTCGAAATACACTTTAATAGAAAACCGAACACGATCTGGAAGCAATTGGCATCTAATAAATTATCCGGTGGATTTTTAGACAAAGGGAAGTCGATCTTAAGCAGAGAAAGGGCCCTTGACTGGAATGCTGACGATCGGATAGAGGACGGATACAAAGACTTTCTAGTACCGAAAAAGAACCAGTCACCATTGGAGAAAGGCTACGACTCAGACCTTCCTACAACCTCAAAACCTTCATCTTCCCAATTGGCCTTAAACAGTCCGTTTAAAGGTAATTTACTACGAAAAACCAACGGAAGTATAAACGGAAATCCCTTCTATAAACAACTAGGTCAGAAAATAATAAACTCAACAAAATCCACGGTTGAACTATCCGACGGAAAAATCATTAGAAAATCGGACATCGCCATCCCAAAGTCTAAATCCTCTACAATTCGTTCATTCAAAGGAAATATCTCATTTCCCTCTTTTTCTAACAGTGATTTACAAGTAGGTCCAAGAAAGACAAATAAAGCGAAGACACAACAGACGCGGAAACCAGACACTAAGACAGGACGTCACACAGAGTCTTTCACCCGGTCACCACCAGTTCTAGAGGAACGAGACAGCCTACTAAATTCAACAAACCGAAGCGAAACCGAAATAAAGCCTCGACTTCGAACACAGGATACTTAGCAGGTGACGAATCCATGTTCATTCCGTCGGATACGTCGGACATTAGTGATTGGGAATGGATTGCGGGAGGTTTTCCATGCAGAGAAATGATACGAAAACGCTTCATTTCAGATAACCTCAATTTTAACAAAAAACCCTTCCCCACCATTAGCTCCTCAAACATATCAAACTAATATAAAATCTGAGATTTTAGACGAACAGCTTCCATCTACAGATACAGCGGAATGCCCAATTAGTATAAAGCCAGCACCTCAATCTACCTCACACCCACCTGGCGAATCTTCTACCGCTACGACAACAGAGGGCCCAAAGATTCCTTCGGATTCAACAAAAGCATTGGAAGGAGAAAATCCGGTGGAATTCCCAGTCTTTCAGATAGAGGACTCCTCTAACCAAAGTGCAAATAGTGAGGAAAGACATCCTAAGGAAATCATACCACCGGTAACGAATTTAAATCAAGACGTTCAAGTCGAAATGTTGGTCCCCCACAATTCTATGGTAAGCGATATTACATAGATATTATAGACGAGTGCGAAAACCAACCAGGCTCCGCGAATAACCCTATATCTCTGGACGAAGGCGACAGCTCGGGCTTCCCCACTCTTACCTTCAGAGAGAATCCCTCGGAGAACCAGACTCACATTTGCGACACTCTACCGGAGGACCGTGCACCGGGCCCAGCGTACCCTTCATCTCCCGATCAATTCTCCATCGCCTCTACTGACGAATCCCTGAGAGATGCGGTGAACAGTTTCGACAACTACATCGACTTAGACAGTGAAATTTTTAACGCTGAGCTAGAAAAATTCATGGAAGGGGACAGCTAAACTAAACCAAAAACTTGAAAACTCGCATTTAGTCATTATATCGTACTAGTATTTCGTTTCAGCGCAGTTAGAGTTTACCTTCTTATAACTAGGGATTATAATCCGCCGGAATTAGAAATTATATCATTCTTTCTAATTCAGTCATTCCTTCGGAGCACTAAAATTTCATTCGTGATATTGCACAGTATTTAATTTTCAATCCTTGTTGGACTTCTCGAGAGGGAGAAAAAGGGTTAGATAACATGTTATGTATCATGGCGCTTAGTACTTTAATTTTTTTTCCCACTAAGGGGAATGTTGCGAATCTCACTATTCGTCTTATTTCATTTAATTAGTTTTAAAGTTTCTTAACTGGTTAATTTAGATATGACCTTGTTATCTTCATTCTCTCCGACGGAGAGAATGACCGCTCACTTTTTAATGTTTTAATTCAGAGATTAATTCACTGTTTAAACATATCTTATTTGTAACTAAGTAGAATTATCCGTAACAAAGAAACATTTTATCAGATTGGCGCTTTTTTAGGATTTCTCAGAACAATCAGATCCCTATTTAGACAAATTTTTTGAAAAGCAAGTCAAAATCGCTTTTTTTCAACGCGCGCTCTCCTTCAAAGTTAGCCAAAAACGCCTTTCAAAATTAGCCACAAGTGCGGGGTCTCCAAGATGTCATCGGATGTTAAACGCACAATCCGCAATAAAACTTAAGTACCGACCAAAAAAATTACGCTACAAATATTTGTACGCGGAGTCCACGGAAATTTTGTAAGTGGAATCCTCTTACATTTTGGAACATGTTTAAAAATTTGTCTCTTGAATCCAGAAACATACAGACACAAAATTGTGCGCCTATCCAGAGGGCAGTTTGGTCTCGTAATGGATTTTTTAAAAAACAAGTAAGTTTTTTCTGTTACATTGCATTCATTGACGTCTAATTTGGTTTTAGTGAGTGAGTACAAGCCGAAAGATGAGTCAATCGAGTTCCTGGTAGTTTTCTTCTTCGTCCTTCAAGTGGCCACACTCGTCCTCACATTCGCCACATACTTTGCATTCCGCGACAACTACAAAAAGTGAGTACAGAAGGGCAGTGTCAAAAACATCTGTCTTATGTGGTAAAGAGGGACATCATATCAAAGTATTGTGAAACACTGGATTGACCTGCCATGAACAAAAAACAGCAGTTTTTTCTTTTATTAAGACATTAACTGCAAACGGCGTTTGCTTTTTGTGCTCGGTTTTCTCTGCCTATGTGCTTGGAAACAAAAGAGATTTTTTTGTTATAAATTTTTTGAACAAAATTGGTAAACTACAGGATTTTGAAGTTTCGAAAAATGCTGAGTTGGACTCAATTTTTTAACTATGAGCATAGGTTATGGAGTTGTGAATAAAATCAGATCAAGCTTCCTCAGGAGCAAGCTAGTCGGTTCAAAATGAGTTTCAACGCGCAGCTACGACATAGCTTGGTAGTAGATAACTTTGCGTACAGAGGGACGATTTTAGATTTTAAATTGAAACATTTTCAGCCTTGCTTGAATTTCAAACTTCCGGAGACTACAAAAGTAACAATCAGAACATTCGAGGCACTGTCGGTTACAATTTTTTTTTGATAATATTAGATTTTTAAAAACTCATTAAAACTAACAGTTTTGCAGTAAAAAAAGCCTCTGGCAGCAAAATATACCCAAGAAAACAAATGCAGTTGTTACTGAAAGGCCACCCGCACTGGAGTTTTATAGAACATAAACTGTTATAATGGATTATATCGGCAAAAAAACTGACCCCATATAATCCATTTTCATGGCCCATCTAACCATGAAAATGGATTTTTAGGTGATTTCAACCAAAAATTGATTTTTTTTTGACAAAAATTGATTATTTTTTTTTGCAAATATGAAATTTTTACACTACTTTTTGCAGCGAGTTCTGCAAAAGTGAGACCCGAGCGAACTTTCACGCCCCCATAATTGCCCTTCCACACCCTCCGCCACACTCCATTCTCCATTCCACCCCCTCCCCACTCACACACACACGCACCCTAACGTTTGTCCCCTCCACCAGTTTATGCCCCCCATACTTTAGCCACACCCACTCCCCCCCCCCCCCCCCTCGCAAGTTGGAGGTAGTTAACGTGAGGAGGGATGGTAAACTGGGGCGTTGAAAGGGGGCTTAATGTGGTATGGGGGACAAGTAGGGAATGAGGGATGTAAATTGGAATTAAGTTAGAACAAAAATCAGTGGAAACTAGAAAAAAATAAAACATAAAAAAGGTAAAGGGAAAAAGTTGAAAACAAGATAGCAATTTTCTTAGCCAAAAAAGTCTCATTTTGCAATTTTCGAATAGAAGGTGCGGTAAATCGAAAGCAACTGAATTTGTGAAATAGTATCGTCTAACTGTCAGACTAAATTTAGAAACAAATTTAAACAAACCAATTTAATCGATTAAAATGGATCATATTGATTTGTCAAAAACGTAGATTATGATCCACTTTTGATTGATTATAATATAATATGTTTGTTTTTGTGGAGACTGACTATGAAAACATAATATTATCGATATTGATTGTTATCCTTTGCGGTAATAATCTTCATTGAGTATTATCCTTTGCGGGCAATATGAACGTTCTAAATATTCTTATATAGATCGCCATTTGCTAAAAGTAAGGTAAGTTACGCTCTAAAATTAAGTAAGATTTCATGATGTCAAAAAAGTGAACTGAACGACTTCCAATTTGAGGAGTGATGGTGAAGCGGTTACGTCTCCGCCTCTGAAGCGAAAGTTCGGATGTACGAGGCACCCTGTATCTAAGAAAAAGGGAAAAAAAGTCAATTATAATGAATTTTTTGGTCTAAAATGATATCAGACACCAAAATGGAATGAAAAATTGGTTTTAATCCATTGTTTTTTTAAATCAAAATCAAAGTTATTTATAATCCATTTAAAATCAATTAAAATGTATTTTCCACTTCATTTTTGTTTCGCTTCGTGCAAAATTTTGCAAGCATTTCTGCCATTATCAAATGAATACTGCGGAAATTATGCAAAGCGAATGTACGGCCTACTCAATTTCTAAAACTAAAGTTTCTCAAACTGCAAAATATTTCCGTTAATGATCCACCCCCACCCAATGTTTGTCCCTACGCTCACCCCCACAGCTGAATCACCCCCCCCCCCCCCACACAAACCTGTCCACCTGATCAAAACCCTCCACTTGAACCACACGCCCACCTGAACCTGGGGGGAGGGGGGGTGGGGTGCTAGGGCTGTGGTTCAGAATGGTTCAAGTGGTTCAGAAATGCCATTTTTTGAAGATTTTGGCAAAAACAATTCGTTTTTTGGCACGCGATCTATCAGAAAGTTATTTTTTTAATTGAGAAGGATAACTGACACTAATCAATCAAATTTGGATGATTAAGAAAGAGATAGTCATTGGTGGCGTATAAATTGTGGAGAGTGAATCGACGCCAATTGCTCATCGAAAACAACTGCAGAGATTAAATTAATGAATTTCATTAGAAAATTATAAAGTTGAGGCTAATTGGATACAAGGCAAGCTTAAAAGATATTTCAAGCAAAACATATTTTCATTAAAATTGTTCAGTCTCAGTAAAATTGAAGAAAGATTAAGATTGAAGGAGGATTAAGAAAGATTCGCGTCTCAATAAAGTGGAAAAAAATCAATTCAAATAGAATTTCCTTGTCAATATCTATAAAAATGGAAACTAATTGATATTAGTTGATTTGCAATGGGATTTAGTGTTCTCTTAAATATTAGCAAAAAAATCCATTTTTAATTGATTATTTTTCACTTTTATACACACTGACAATAAAAGTCAAATGTAATCAATTTTTATCAATGGAACTCCAGTGCGGGGCATCATGTTTTGCGCTCGTTGCTTGAGGGTGAGGCAACATTACCCGCTCAGAAAAATAAGCAAAAACGTTGCATGTAATCCTTAAGCAGGGGCACAACATCAGTTTGCCGTCATTAGCTGTACAGCTTCTATGTTGGCCAAACTGTGCTCTAGATAGGCCCACGCAATTTAGTGTATGCAAGTCTCCGGAAACCAGAGTCAAGTCATTAAACATGTTAAATTTTTTTCCGAGTGATCAAAGAAAACGAAAGAAAAAAGCAAGATTAAAGAGAGCGTCCTTGTTGCGGGATCTGCACTTAATTCACAAAATACACAGTCTGGCCTCGTAATGAGTTTCATATTTGGATTGATTTTAATATTCAGAACTGCTAGCGGAATTAAAATTTTTCCTATAGTTGTCTTGAAAAGGGTTGGTTTTTTTTAAACTTGTCAATTATATAAGATTCTGGAAATTCAAAAAAAAAATTTAGTAAATGTACTTTTTTTCGAATTACAAAAAATGTTTTCAGTTTTCAGGAGTTTAGTTTATTGACATTTTTCCTACTGTCTTTTGGCTCTACGATTGCTTTTTTTTGCCGCCTGTAGAAATCTGTACTTCACTCTGAAGCACCGATCCATCGCGGTTAATCGCAGTGAAGATCTGGTGTTCGACTGGCGCCACCCTATCTGGCACAAACTGTTCCCTGGTGCCGTGTTCGACCTCTCCGACAACCACCACAAACTCCTCATACAGGAGTACGGGGCAAGTTGATCCAGTTTTCTCAAATTGGGTTAATTTCAACAAATAATTCTGAAATTAGACTTTTTTTTAAAAAAAATTCCAGGTGTTTCGTGACTCTTTTCCTACTGTTTATTGGCTATGTTTAGTTTTAAGTTCGCTAAAGAAAAAAATTAGCCATTTATGTAAATTTTTCAAATTCAGATTGAGTTGAGTTATACTTTTTCTTTCTATCATAAATAATTTTAAAACAAGCTGTATCATTTTTTGCCAATATCATGGTTTTTAAATATAAATTAAGAGATTGATTTTTTTATATTTGGACATTATAAGTAATAGAATCCATGTGGTATAAAAATATTTATCTCTGTGTGCTGCAGAGATTCAGTGAAGACGAGTTCCCGTGTATGCCCACTGTGACTGCCTATGACTCACGACTGGTCAGCCGCAACAACCAGCGCCCTCTCCCGCAGAACAGCCACGTGTTGCCATGTTAGTTCATTTACGTTCCCATGTCTCATGAATGAACTCAGAATTTGAGGGGGTGGCTGAATCCGAACAAGTAGATCATATCTTTTTTTTGTATTTTTTATGTAACAGTTTTTTGTTTTCCTTGTCGCAGCTGCTGGGTTTTTGTTTTATGCGATAACCATGGTGAATATAATTTTTATTTTCGAAGAAGAGAGAAGTTTCAATTTTTGAATGAAAAGTCTCAAGAAATGATAAATGTGTCCAAATGTGTCCAAAATTGAGTCGTTACTTGTTTATTTGTTTGAGATGAAACTAGTCTGGCGAGTATCAAGTGCAACTACAGTGAAGACCCAATGGGACACTTGATGGGCGGGTACTACAATGCAAGCTACATCAAGGTGCTCACTTAGCTCGCTTTTCAAGGTTTTTTTGGAGGTTTGATGAAGTCATGTTTGTCAACGATTGAGCTGCCAAGTGTTTGATATTAAATTGTGTTTCAAGGGAGCGTCTAACAGGAACAAGGTCAAGTACGTGGCCGTCTGTCACCCGAAGAGTGCGGAGTGTGTGCGTGGCTTCTGGCGACTGGTCTGGGACACCAACGTGCCCTGTATCGTCATGCTAGAGGACTATGACAACAACGGAAAAGTAGTCAACTGACACAAACACTTTTCCTGCTACCTCTTCAGAGCGAATGGAATAACAAGCTTTTTGATGTTTATTTTTCAATGAACGCAATGAGATCTTTACCTTCTATTTTAGAGTTTCGTAGCCACAACAGTTTTTCGTTTTGTTTTTGTCAAAGAAAATCTGGAATGATTTCTATCGCACGAAATATTTTAAATGTTTATCTATAGAATAGTACAAGAGCGTTTGAAAATTTGGTATTTTATCTCTCAGAGGAAAATTCTTACTTTACTCTCAGCCTCTTTTGTTCGGGTTTGCTTGGATATCTAGAAAGGTAATCTGAACTTGTACATGTGGCTTTTTGCAGCTTGAATGAATACATTTTGAAATTAACTTTATTAGACAATGTGTGTGGATTATCTTCCGGAGGATGACGTCAAGCCACTGTATGTGCACCACTTCACCCTTCTGCAGAAGGGACTCACCCAGACGCCCTCCTCCTACCACACAGAGTCCACCATTGTCATGCTCAACAGACAGGTAGACCACACTAGGCTATACTACATATACAAATGCACAGAGTGGCAGCGTTTGTGATTTCACGGTACGTTTGTGAAATGGCTGGTTAAATTAGATTGATTGATAGCTTTCTGTGCTAGACGGTGGAGAAGCGTACCATTCTGGTGGTATACTACCCTGGCTTCCCTGCCAACGGGGACTTGGCCAAAGTGAGCCAGGTGCTGGAGTTCGTGTTGCAGGTCAGAGGTGCATTCAAGCCACACGCAGCCAGGAACTCGTCCGAGATACTTGTACACTGTCCGTTAGTTCTAAATTTTGCAAAATTGGAAAGAATATGCGAAACTTGTAACTTATTACTTACGATATTCAAAGTCGTTAACTCGTTAGTTAACTTACTGTTTCTCATAGTAGTGGAACTTACAACTAGTACTTTCTAATTCAGAAACGGATCCCGCTCGTGTGGTCTGTACATTGCGAGCGACAGACTGTTGCAGGAGGCCTCGGAGAAGACATACAGTGACGTGATGGGCTGTGTGGCCGACCTCCGCATATGCAGGAGAGACATGATACCCGTCATAGTAAGAGATGAACAGACTCCCAACCGCCCCTCTGCAATGATATAATTATAAGGCATAGTATCTGTCAGTATCTCTTATCCGCCCATAGAGTCAACATCCATCAAAATGGTTTTCAAATAACTGGATTTGTATGAAATTGAATCCCCAATTAGGAACCCGAATAGACTCACAATTTCCATGATTTGTCATGGCATTTAATGATATGAGAGGCGAAAGTTGTAGAATTAGTTTTAAAAAACTTCTTTATATGTTTTAGCATCAGTACCTGTTTCTGTACCAATTGGTGCTCCTCTTCTTGACAAAACACAAGTCGTCATTCATCACACGCAAGAATCTGGGAAACCTTTGGACGGGGGGTGAGCTATACATTTCTATTCACCGCATATTTAGTCACCAGAAAGTTTCCTTAACTTTGTGGTGACCAGTGTTAAAAAAATATTTAAGAGTCGATGAACGTAGTTCAGACTCCTAAGAGGTGGCGATTTTTTTCGGCTTTTTTTGATGAAACGTTTTAAAATTTGTTCAGGTTCAATTTTACTTTTTCGGTTTGTTTTTTGATTTAATTTTAAGTTCAGTTCATTTCTTTTGTTTAAAGGAAGATAAACTCCACTATCGAACAGCGAAAGTTAAACAATCACGAAAAACTTGATCAACGTCTAATTCGAAAAGGGAATTTATTTATCAGATTTCCCAGCGAAACAAAAATTTTACCTATTGATCCAGTTTTCTCAAGTTGGGTTAACTTAATCAAAAAAATTCAATCTTGGAAAAACAAGTCAGTTTTTTTTCTGTTTACTTGCGCTCATTAGTTTTTTACGCAACTGTCTGTTGGCTATGTTTTCACAAACAAAACAAAAAAAAAACAACTCCGTTTTTTTTCTGTTTCCTTGCATTTCTTTTACATTTTTTCAGTTCATTTGGCTGTTTTGTTTGTGTTTAAAATTTCCTTCTTTTATAAGCCGACCGTTAAATTACTGAACGAGACATTAATAAACTAACAACCCTTGTATAACCTCTCAAAGGTTGTATGAAGAAGTGACACATAAAACATACAGAAACTATTCCCCGTATTATACAGCCCCTGTATTTGATAGAAACATTTTTTTAGCCGTTTTTGAATTTAATGTTGAACTTGGGTTACGAACTCTTGGTCCGCGTACCAATCAAAAATTGGAACCCTAAGCTTAAAATTAGTTTTTTGAACGCGTATAAATGACCTCAAATTACTTTTTTACTTGTACGTTTTAAATTGGTTTACAGGCAAAAGTCTTGAGGCAGAACTGGAAATGGGTGAGTTCATTTGCACTCTGTTTTTCTATATGACTTCTAGAAGTCACCGGAGTGCAGTTACCTCATACAGACGAAAACTGTACAAAAATCCCTTCCTAAATTATTAATTAAATTCGGTATGCGGTTTTTTCTACGATTCAATACTAATATCTTTTCTTCTATTGATAGATGTTCAATGTAAAAGTTTCAATTGCTAACTTTTTATGCTAATCATGCAGAAACAACATGGTCTGACTTTCAGGATAATTACAGGAATTACAGGAATCAATATCAATCACAGGTTTTCGGTGTTTTTGCTTTACTAAGCGTTCATTGCTGGTTGATTGCTTAGTAATTTTATCCTAAACTATAAGTCTCACCTTAGTTCGTCAAGTTGTCTTGACAAAAGTTAGAGTAGAAACAATCGTTAGAAAAGGTATGCATTAATTAACTGGTTAAATACAAAGCACGAGGTTATTAGATTATATAAACGAATCGAACAGCTCAAAGAAATATACCTATGAGGGGAGGTTGAGTTAATCTTATTTTGTTCATCAATATTTTATCTTCTTACTAAGGTCGATGATTGTTTAGTATTCTTGGGTCGCCCTTGATTGTGTCCACTTCGGCACTTCTGGTTGGTCGTCTGTATCGTCCTTGCCGTAGTCCCTTTTGATCTTTATGGTCCAGACTTCCTCAAGTGTGGGTTTCTTGAGTATCTCGATTTATAAGTTTTATCGAATTTTAAACGAGAATTTTTTCTCTATTTTATTCGGGAAAAATGCTAGTTTAATGTTATTGTTAAAGCAGAAAAGAAAAATTATTCATTTTGAAAAGATCTCACTTAAGAGATCTGACTTGCTGCTTACTGAGCAAAATGAAACACTGAAGATTTCAGGCCAGTCCTTTTGCTCGTAAGCATAAACCGGGGGCTGATTCAATCTTTAATTATTCAGATTTCACCTACTCCTTTATTCTCCCTTTCATATAAGGGAAATTTCAACTAGTTTCTATTTGATTTTTTCAAATCAAATATCTTTAAATTGTTAGTCCTCTTTGATTAAAACCGCAGCCTTCAGTTTTGTCTGATTAAAAATTCATATTAATCTCTCTGATGCATTATATTGCAGGTGCATCTCTGCTTAATCAAAGCAAGGAGAATTTCAGTGCAGCCGGCAAGACTGCTAAATATTTATCCATTTTGTTTCAAGTTAAAGTTAAAAGCGACGTGTTAATAATCGCCGCCCTTTCAAAATAGTGATCATGAAAAAAGGAGAAAAATTGGACAAGTATTTAAAACGTACTGGATTTTTGTAAGTGGAAAATCTTACTGTTCAAAACAAGATTTTATAGTCCTAATAAGAGTAAATCAGTCAATATCTGATTTAGTGAAAAGAGGCTTTAATTTAAATGGCACGCTACAATTTAGAATTGGGTCGTTAAATATACAATTAAGACAATGGTCTTTTGTCTGTGTAGTTTTTTCAATAATACAACTTACCCCTTTTTCAAGAAAAATAAGTTGTTCGATTCTTACAGTTACCATGGTGAAAATTTAAACACTTTAATGATTAAATACTTTAGTTATAAAAATTAAAAAGAACATCAAATGAAATAAATATGTAGATCAATTAAATTAATGGACTCAAATTTAAGTATGGTTTTTGTTCTCTAGAGCTATAAATTTCGTCTAGAGCTTCCTTCCTGCTTCTAGCTCCACATTGTACGTTCTGAGGATTGCTACTTTCCTCTGTGAAGCCTCGAGTTTTTGTTGTAACTTGACTACTTTCTTCTTCTTGATTTTATTCTTAATTCGCAGTCTGCTCATCCCGTCTGTAAGCTCTTTAATATCGTCTTGCTCTTCCTGCTTGGGTCTTACATAAATTGGGAAGGCAGTTATTCCCTCAAACGGGATGGGAACTTGCGTTCCCCCTGATTTCAGGATGTAGCCTTGCTCTTCTCTCTCCTTCAGTTTCCAGAACTTGGTATCCTTCTTTACCACCACTTCTTGTTGGGCTATAAACTCGACAGGCATCATCGCTTTTTCCATTGTCGTCGAGTTGGCGACTTCAATAAAGGATGGCAGTTTCCATCTGTTGTAGTTTTGTTTTATTGAATACTTCAAACTCGTTATAATTCCAGGGTTCTCAGTATCCAGTTTTGCTTCTCTGTTCTTCTGCAGTTCTAACCTTTGATTTAGACTGGCGAAATTCCGAGGGTTCTTATTTAACCCGTCGTCAATTGACAAGGATTGTACTACTACAGATTTTCGTTGCTTCTTTCTGAGACGCAATTTTCTTTTAAACTCATCGGGTGCTGGGTCAGCATTTTGTCAGTTCCAATTCAAAATTGGGTCATATTTCATTTTGCTAAACATCTATTTAAATTACGTAAATATTCAAAATCCCGAATTACATTCTGATACTAAGGCTTATTATCAAATTTGAATAATGAAGAAAATTTATAAAAGTGTAAAATTTTATTTAAAAAAGGTGGAAAATATAATCTTGTGGTTTCACACAAACCCACCACGGAAAAAAATGAAGAAAGACGATCATGGTGTTTTTTAACCACAGGAATAAAGCACTTTACAACACTGAGATAAGCTCAGATTTTAAACTTACGTAGTTGAAAAAAATGGAAATTTGGGGGTTAATTAACCCCTAATCTTAAATGTATGTCCACCTGGGGTCATCCACAGGCTTACCATGGGGTCCCTAACAAATTTTACAGCTATAAACTTTGGGTTAGGATTTTTTAGATGCAAATATGAACGAATAGGAATTTGTAAAATTTGTAAGGCAGGTATAAACAAATATAATAATTCATTTGACAGCATTTTTGTCATAACCAGGAATCTTCGTTTCATTTTCTGATAAAATATGGAAAAGATTTGATTAAGGAATAAAAGAAACTGAAATATCAAAGGTAAGGAAAGTTGAATAGTAATTACAAACGGTATAATATTCGATAAAATAAGTGTAATAATTCTTCTTCGGTTTTAATCCCCTGCAACAATCCATGTTCACATCTTTAGTACAGAAAAGTCGTCCTGAGCTTTATGATGCAAAAATTTAACGTAAACATTCTTAATGATGATGCGGTCCAATTTTCAAAGTGTTGCTTCTGAAAATTGGTTGTATTTAAGAGTTTAAACGCCTGCGTGTTGTGGATTCAAAACTACCGAATTAGTAAGGTGGCCAAAATTTTGAAGAGTGAATCATAAGAGTCTCAAAGGCTGCATACAGCCACCAACAATCGTTTGCGTTGGTCAAAAAAATTAGTACCATGATTTTTGAAAGGCTACACAAAACCACCAACAAATGCTGGCATAAATCTGCGGTGGGTCGGGTCGAAAAACATTGTTCGCCCATTTTATGATAAAGAATATTGGTGAAAATTTTGCTCAATGTGTTGAGAAGGAAGGAGGTGATATTTCCCTTTTTGATGAATTTCTTCTAGTTTGCATTTTTTAACTTGAAAACTACAAAGATAATAATTAATGTCATCGGTCCCTACTTGGGCCCTAAGAGGAATCCGATGGTGCAAATTAACTTCGCTGAAATAAGTTTGATACAATTTTGCATTGGCTAGTTCTTTCATCAAAGATTTCACTCTATTAATTCTCTTTATTGTATGTAGGATAACTTTACATTCCTTCAGTGTAATACTGAATTTTCAGTAATAAAACCGCCTGAAAATGAAATATTTTTAGACTCGTAAAACTGTAAAATTTGAAACTCCTGGCCTTTTGCAGTTTTTTTTTTGCAAATATGTTGAAGTCGAAAAACTTTTTTGTCCGAGCCATTAGGTTCCGATCCCTCTATCTATATTTGATTTTGAGGATGGTCCAAAAATGTTAGCGTACTTGACTGTTTTCGATCTCGGTTAAGAATTAAATTCGTGTTCATGCATTTTGGCATATCTTTTTGGGTGTCATACAGAACCGCTATTCATTGTAGTATATTTGTAGGCTAAAATTCGTAATCCTATTTTTTAGATTTATTAAACTAAGTTTACTGCTCAGTATACAAAATGTTAGGTAAACTTCACAAAACTTTAAGCGTTGTAAAAGCTTTAATGAAACCTTCACATTTATAATTATTTTAAAGCAGGAAGAAATGGGTTTATTTTATTTCTATGTTTACAAACGTTTGGCCTATTACAACTTTGTTTTTATCTACTTTTGATTCTCTGGAAATTTTTAGTACGATAGGCATTGACTTAATGTCGTTTCTACAATAAATGCTTTTTGCATTAATGCCTTTTTGTTCCAAGGACTGATCAATTCCAAACGAAGTTCCTACTTTGAAAACTATGCCTGCTGGAGAAATTGAAATTACGCGGGATGATTTGATGCAATAGTTATTTTTTTATCAAGAAGTACATTTTGATAAAAGCTTAGATATGAGTAACTTTTGCATCTTATAATACTGATATGAACTGTTATATCTGGGTATTTTTTAAATTCTAAGTTTAAATTTGGAAAGTTTATTGATTTAATGTTGTGAAAAATGAATTTCATTCCTAATATATTTAGATCGCATCCGTTCTCGGCTGAAATCCATGCTTTGATTTTTACCGGATTATCAGTGTTTGTACCAAAAGTTGAGTCAAAATTAGTATAACCTATAAGTTTAAGTTTTTCTCCTTTAACAGCAACTGTGTTTGATCTAGATTTATTCAGCTGTAGAGGCTGTATTTTACAATATTGTTCATAACTGTCAAAATTAATAAGCGAACATGTTGCTCCAGTGTCTAGTAGAACTTGGGTTTCCAGACCGTTTTTTTTATTTTTGTCTCCGACGGGATGTTGGTATAAGTTAATATATAATTGTATTTTTGGTTCAGACGGAGACTGATCTAGTTTAAATTAACAAGTTCACATTCATTTTCGGTATAGTCTCCTGGAATGTCATCATCACTAAAGTTGTGGATCTGGTAAGGTGAAAGATAATGGTTATTTTCCTTGAAAGTTTTTTTTTACTATTCGACCTGTCACGCGATTGAGAAGTTTCCTTGAAGTTTGACAAATGCCTGAATTCTTTTTGGGTATTTGTGTCATTGAAATTGTTGTCTACTCTTGACCTACTCTTGCTATAGTTGTGGTAACTTCTGTTTGAATTCTCTCTTAATTGAAGTGATTCGTAATTTTGCTCCTGTTGATCGTTATATTTAAAGCAATGTCTTATTGTATGGCCTGACATGCAACATCAGTTGCAAAACATTGGGTTGTTTTGTTTGTTTCTGTGCTCATGTGGATTATAAGCTGCGTTTATTTTATGATCCTTCATTAGTCCTGTTAACTCTTTAAGTTGATCCTTTATTCCCTCTATTTCCAATTTATTATCTATGCTACTGGATGCTGTTGCAATAACCTCACTACTTATTGCAAAACTTAAGTCTTTTGTTGCATAATGATCTTTTAATTGTTGCCAAATTGCGGGTGGATTCTCGTAGTTGTGTCTCTGCGTAGTTTGGTTGACCTACTCCTCCTCCTCCCCCTTCTACCTGTCTCCTCTTCTATCCCAACTCCCCCCACGGTCGCTCAACGTTTCTTCTTTCGTCTTCTGGGGCATTTTGAATTAAAACTTGATAAATGGCAAAAACCCGGGTTGAACTCAAATTGAAAATACTACATTGCAGACCAATTGGAAGAAGACATCAAAACACACAATGAGAGCAGAGAGAACTCAGACGCCGCCGAGAAGACTCTGGATGACCCCCTGGCACTGCCGGCCATTGCAGAGCTGAGCGCAGACAGTCTGCCCCAGTTGTCGGAGTTGAATGACCCGGAAAATTCAGGAGAGGGGGAGGATGGGACGAAACGGAGCGAAAGCTTGTCTGTTGCCGCTGAACCACTCGCTGCAGCTCCCAGGTATGTATAGTTCAAGTTTTTGAATTTCAATGAAAAGGAAAATGCTCAAGTGAAGCAACTCTTCCCACCAAGAAAAACTAGTGAAAACCAAATTGCAGATAGAAGCAAGTGTATGACGAGGTGGTCACTTATCTGCTAGTCAAGTGCTCATAACCAGGGAAGAATTATCGAGAAAGCAGAAACTCTTTTTTAAGGAAAGCGGCCCCTTTAACGCTAATTTACAACGCTAAGTTTTGGTGCGACGATTTTCAATATTAGTTTAAAAAGAACTCAAAAATCTGTCCACTCGCAAAAATTAAACCCTGATAAAATTCGAATGCATTTCAATGCGCCGATTCAACGCCTTTCATTGTTTTTGCCATTTATCAAGTTTTAATTCAAAATGCCCCAGAAGGCGAAAGAAGAAACGAAGAGCGACCGTGGGGGGAGTTGGGATAGAAGAGGAGACAGGTAGAAGGGGGAGGAGGAGGAGAAGGTCAACCAAACTACGTAGAGACACAACAGCCGATATCGGAGCCACGGGTTCGCTTTTTAACTTTACATCTGAAAAGAATATCAATTCGTTAGTGCTACATAGAAAACAACATAACTATTTCGGCTAGCTACCCGGGTTGATCTCCATACGCCAAAAATGCTTATCATACATTTCCATAAAACAAAAATCATTATCATCAAATTCCATACACCAAGTGTATGGAGAAAATGCTTGTCATACAATTTTCATACGTTTTCGAAAAAATGGAAAATAAATTGAACCATTTCTGCGGCTTTTTGAGAACAGTTGAACAGACTGGTGACAAAAAAAAATGATTTATTTTTTTTTGAAAAAAATGCCTGCCATTCAATTTCCATTTATGAAAATTGTATGACAAGCGTTTTCCCCATAAGGGATCAATTTTCAAACTTTTTTCGGAAACCAGTTGTTGGACACTTCAAATGAGTTGGTTGCATTTTTTCCACAAGATGAGAGCAAATTGCGAAAACAAAATAAAAGTTAAATTTTGAAAAATATATATTTTCATGTTTTTATGCCCCTGTATAAGTTAACGTTCTTGACTTTTCAAAGTGTAAAGTAACTGAATCAATTGAAAGATTGAATTCAAAAAAACCAACTCTTTCTGATATTTTTGTTTTTCTGGCGTTAATGTGAAGGCCAATTAGGTCAAGTGTTAGAAAAGTGCCCTTTAACGCACAAAAAAATGAGTTTTTAAAAAAATTGTAAAAAAACTTCTAGTTTATCTCTGATTCGGTCCTGATTGGCTTTTTCTGGTGGGTTTTTTTTCCTGTGGGTTATCCTCCGATTAGGCTAAAATCACATTGTTTTATGGTCTCTCTTATATCATCTATGTATCATCTATATATGATCTATATATCATCTATGTATCATCAGAAAATTAGGAAACTGAGGTTGCAACTTCTAAAAAAAAATTTTCTCAGGTTTTCTTCTCTGTTCACAGATTGCACGGTTTATTAGATGGGCTTTAAATTAATTTGTGCCGCATTTGAAAAAAAAAATTCTGGAAACTGTTTGTCATACAATTTTCATAAATGACAAATTTTCAGTCATACAATTTCCATTTATGGCAAAAAATGTTAGTCATACAATTTCTATTTATGGCAAACAATGTTAGTCATACAATTTCTATTTATGGGAAATTGTTTATTATAGAGATTTCATACAATTTTCTGTAGGTATGAAAATGTATTGAATTGTTTCCCATTTACGAGAGTTGTATGATAAACATTTCTGGTCAACCCGGGTAATCAGAGCTAATTTAATCATAGTGAGACTAACCTGTTTTTTTGAGACTGCAAGCGGTTTCTGCAACAACTTGGACAACACTGCTGTGGAATCTGCAGGAAAGCTATTTTAATTTGATCTTTTTTTGTAGTACTACAGAAATCATTTGCAGGTAAAAAGGCAAAGGTAACTTTGAATGTGGAGTTCAGCTTTAAGATTTCCCGGAGGACTAAAAGATTCACCTTATGAGTCATCTTTTTCATTTCGGGTTCTTGAATTTAATTTTTTTTTTCATTTTGAAATTCGAAAGTTAGCGTGCTTACAATTTTTAAGTCAAGTTTTTTCCTGTTTCATTGCTTTTATTGATTCTTGTCTAATTGTATGTTGGATTTGCATGAAATCACTGATTGCGAATTTGTTCCTGAGAATTGTGATAATGTACTGCAATTTCCATAATTACATCACGCCATGACTACTAGAACGCTAATATGTGTATAAAAATTGTCATTTTTTTCTACAAATGCGATCTATAAATATGAACTGTTGTTTTTATC